TCTCCACCGGGGGAACGTACTCATCTCGAAACATAGTGGTGAACCTCTCCCAGGTCACCGCAGCGTGCTTTGCAGAAGTGAAGTGTGCTGTCACAAACTTCCACCAGTCCTTCGCTCCCAAGCGAAGCTGGTTCAAAGCGAACCATACCCTCAGGTGCTCCGGACATGAACATGTGTAGAAGCACCCCTCAATGTCAGAGATCCACCTCATCGCAGCTATCGGATCCTGAGTCCCATCAAACTCTGGTGGCTTCGTGTTGCTGAACTCCCGGTACAGCAACAAGTCACCCCCCTGTGTCCTCGCAGCAGCGACGGCTGCGGTGGCCGCAACAACAGCAGCATCAGTAAGAGCAGCATAGCGCTCGTCAAATGTCTCGATCAGGGTGGTCTTGATAGACCCAAACATCTCTGGTATCCCGGCTCTGATGGCAGCAGCCACCTCCTCGTGAATCAATCTGCGGATCTCCTCGTTGCTAACACTACTGCTCCCAGAAGTGTGGCGTGTCCCAACCATGATGTCTCTCTGAATACAACACAAAAATATCAGAGACTCGCTCAAGTGCACACACACTCGATATCCCACTCCTACTTGACCCCTGGTATCCTAAGGATTCTTACTTGGGCTGCGCACTGATCCGGTGCCTTCGGTAGTACGGGCCCAATACTACAATCCACACCGCATCAATATTCACCCCAAGTCCTCCTCCTAGGATCCCAAGTCCCAACTACTCTACTCTCTCTATACATAATCTACCCTCTAGCAGATCTCTCATAAGCTCCTTGCTGCTATCTATTCATTCTCAAGCACCTCCTAGCAGCAAGATCCCTAGGCTAAGGCATCACAATCAGGCCACTCTAGTCCTAATAAGAATACCTAGCCTACTCTAGAATGCATATCATATCATAACATATCTCATAACTCATAATGTAAGGGTATTTTGGGAAATCACCATTCGGGCACTGGTTGATCGTACATACTGCTCTGCTCTACTCTTTCAAAAACTTTTTACTCTTGAGAAAAATTTGTGAATTTTATTTTGAAAACCTCTCAAATCCTCAGTTTGAGTCCAGATACGCCCGAAGGTGCACCTGAATCCCTCAAACCAAGGCTCTGATACCAACTTGTAACACCCAAATTTTCAAATAATTTTTCACATTTTATAAAACACATTTTCATCCATAATTGTTATAAAAACACCATTGTATCACATAGTCAAATCATAACATCACATCCCAAGATCATAATATAAAAACTTCTCGTGTGTGTACTGATCAAGCCGACGCCTTCCCGCGATCCTCACTGGTACCTGAAACACATAACACAACACTGTAAGCATAAATGCTTAGTGAGTTCCCCAAAATACCACACACAACACATATTAGCCACTCGAGGCTATAACTCTGTTTGACCCTCTGGTCAATGTGTCTCAGTGGGACCCTCCAGTCCCATAACTCTGTGGGCCCTCTGGCCCTAACTCTGTGGACCTTCCGGTCCTAACTCTGTAAACTCTGTAACATGCATAACATACATCACATAGAAATCACATCATGCAAAAGCATACAAAATACTCTGTCACATAACTCTAATTACCATTCTAGGTAAAGTATAGTGAGAAGACTCACCTCGGGTAATTCGGTAAAGCTCGAACTCTGTAAAATCGGGTCTAGCCTCTGCCTAATCATATAAAATAAACACTCTAAATCAATACGTCTCTCAAGGCTAGACTATTCCTCCTCTTAGTACTCTCAGAAGGGTAAAAGACCATTTTACCCCCTTCATGGCTCAAACACCCTAAAGTTGACCAAACCCTAAATGTCAACAAAAGTCAACCCTCCGGGTTACACTGCGCGTACCAAACATGTACGATGGGCGTACCCGGCGTCCTCACAGAAACGGGGTGCGCGACCCCTTACGCTGCGTGTATTGGGATTATGCCCCGCGTAACTCCCAGTATCAGTCCTTCAGCTCTTGAGGTCTTAAACAGTTAAGACTCACGTCCAACTTCTAGATCTGACCATTTCTAAGCCTCTTAATCCATAAAGTCGATGACTTTAAGCCTTTGCATGGCTGAACAAGTCACTAACACCCAAGATATTCCATTTCTAGCCGTAGAAAGCTCAAAACTCTAGCATGTCCTCATATCAACGACCAAGATGGAAACTTTATGGATCTAAAACACAAATATCACGGAGAGGGGACAGATCTCGGACCATGGAGCACCTTACACTCATAAAGTCTCCACCTTTGGGGCTTTTAACCCTAGAAATGGCCCATGCAACAACAAACCAAAAGAAGGGGAAAGTTTTTTACTTTATACCTTTAAAAGCAGCTCCTTCCTCTGTAGATCTCAGATCCAACTTTCACTTCATGCTCTAGCCTCCACAAGCTCCTCTCATTCTTCTTCACTAACACCCCAAGGCACTTTTCGCTCCAAAATCACACACACTCACTAAGGACGATGGAAAGTTCTCTCTTAGGGTTTTACTCACTGCTATGGAGGCTGAGAAATGAGCCTTAGCATCCAATATATAGTGTAGAAGTCAGAAATTAGGGTTTGCATCTGGACACCTTACGCCCAGCGTAACCCTGGGTACGCCCAGCGTACTCAGGCGAGTCCGCGTCCAAAATAAGCGCATGAGTACGCGCAGCGTACTATTCAGTACGCCCAGCGTACTCATTTGCTACCAATTTCCCTTAAGGGCTAAACTTGACACTTTAAATAAAAAGAAGGGTTAAATAGTTGTACCTGAATTTCGGGATGTTACACAAGTCCCCTAGGCTAGTAGACATCAGCGTTGGCCTGACGTAGATGAGTTGTTCTAGCTTAGATCAAGACACGTGTTCGGTGAAGATGTCCCTAACGTTCGCTAATGTGACGGGGTCATATGTGCAGGCAGTTTGATCATGGTAACTATTCGATTCTCCCGCTTTGCATTTAAAACTTTCCTTATCAGGGACGGTTTTACTCTTTACGCTTCCATTCTTCAACTGCTTCTATCTTTTCTTTGTTTACCTTCCTTTCCTTTCTGCTCTTGCTCTCAGAGGAAAAAATGACAACACAACTAACTGGAATCGAGCCAACTCCAAGCGAGTTTGAAACCTTTCAAGCCCGATTCGGCTTCTTTCCTGAACACGGGGTGTAGTATCCCAGGAAAAGGGCGATCATCTCTCGTCCACTGAAGGTAAAGGTCAGAGTCCCTGTTACAATCTTTGAGGCAGAACTGAGGTTGCCGCCAACTAACTTTTTAGACGAGATCATTCATCAATTCGGTTTCTCCGTGGATTATCTAACTCTCAATGCCGTCAACAAAATTATGGGCTTTGAACAAGACTGTTGAGCCCTTGGCATGCTGGGCGTTCAAATCCTATTTCAAATCTTCCACCCAGTCTGGCGTCCATACCTTTTACCAAAGGCAAGGCATTCATGCGTTCATCATTAACCAAAAAGCAACCAAGCAGAATTGGTAAGATAAGTGGCTTTGGGTGAATCACAACCTGGTTGGTTACGGCTATCCCCGAGTGACTGTATACTTTGACCGGTCACCCCAACTATGGGGTGCTAGCCTAACCGTGGTACATGAACTGAGGGGTATTTTCTTCAAAGGAGAAGACTGAGAAAATAACATTCTGGTCATGGTAGGGATGAGTGCTTCATGGAGGGCTCAAGGGATGATGCCTCAATACCTTGTGGAGAAGGATGGTAAATACTCTTCTCATCCCCCCCAAAAGGATATGTTTTTTGGGGCAAATGTCTTACGTAATATGTTTACTTTTTGTCTTTTTAGGTCATGAGATGATCTTTCCCTTTGAAATAGTTCTACGGGGAAAATATAAGGGCAATCTCCAGTACCGTGAGGTATCCTTGGTGGAGATTCTCCCGCCGTCCGTTAGCCTTGATCAAGACCGGGAGGTTGTTATACCTCCTTTTGCTGGGAATGATGGGCATGGTTTTCAGTTTGACCCAAATTTGGTGGATGCAGTCGTTAAAGGTGTTTCACACTATGATCCTACGCCTCAGAGATCTGAAGATGAGACAGAGAAAGGGGTGGCGGTTGGGCATCTACCAAGCGACAGATAGCTTGGGTGGACTCCCCACGTTTCGGAGGCATTGGTGCCAGTATCATTGGCAAACACGTTCGCAAGAAGTGTAATGTGGACTTCTTGCTGGGGGAGTCCGACGTTTTGATTACTATCCCCGATGAGGATGCTTCGAACCAGTCAGAGGGGATAAGCATCAAGGTAATAAAATTTCCTCATGAACCAAAAATAGAGCCGAAGGATGACTTTGACCTTGGTGGGTAGTGATTCTAAGAAAGAGTCAGAGGGTAAAGTTCCAGCCTCCTTTGGCTTTACTTCGTCTCCATTGAGAGACAACGCTGATACGGGTGCTCCTCCTTCACCTCCGATTACCTCAGGTGTCTTTCTCCCGGAGTGGACACTTACTCGTGAGTCTCTACTTACGTAACATTAGGTTGTGTATGAGTAGGGTCATCACACGTTCCCTCCGTCCACCATAGAAGCATTGGATCTCTTCTCCAACTCCCATATTTCTAATAGCTTGTAGTATGCATCAGACCAAGTGGCCCCCTTATTTAGTGGAGGCGGCTGGGTGCCTTTGTCACGTTAGCTCGAATTTGGTAGACTTTACTATCGTCAAGGCTGAGCATGACGGGGTAAGGGGGAGGGTGTTGGCCCTTGAGATCGAGAAGCATAAGTTTGAGGGATGCTACGACTTGTTGGCTGGAGAGAAGGCATTTGTAGAGGAACATGTGGTGAGTTTAGATGCGGAGGTGGAGCGTTTGTTGCAGCAGGTGGAAGATTTGGAGCCAGAGAATGAGGCATTGGAGAAAAAAGTGAAGCTGTAGATCAACAGTTGGATATAAAGGGGTTTTAGAGGAATGTTTTGGAGGAAAATGCGGCCTGGCTCCTCCAGAAAGGTGTCATCCGTGTGGTGGACCTGGTGATTGAGAGCACTAAGTTCTCACTGGGGGTTAGACGGATGAAGGTGGTGTATATGGACGCCAGTGTAGAGGGTGGCAAACAAGTTGTTCGGGAGAAAGTTGCCACTGGGAAGTTTATCCTTGGAGAGCCAAGTGCCCTTGTGGAGCATACCCAAGCGATGCACGCCTCTTTGAAAACCTTCGTGAATACGGACTTTTCCTCATACCTTCGTCTCAGTGAGCTAGATATGGAAGGCATCAACCGATTATGCAGTGATTCTGACGCTGAAGACAACCAACCTGAATTTAGCTCCTATAAAGTCAGGCCATCCTCCAATCCTCTCAGTAAGTGATACTTTTATCCTATTTTATGTTTAAAAGACAAGTTTGAATAACATTTGGTTTGCTTTTTGCCCCATGTGGCCTTTGTCTAAATCTGGGGAATGTCCGGTGAATAATGCACTCCTTTTTGTGTGGTGCTAATGTTCTGGTTGTTCTTTGTTTAAGGTTCCTTTACTTGTCATCCCAAGTGGTTTGTGTTGGTCATCCCGTGTATGGATTCTTCCCAAAGGTTAATGTTGGCCTTTGTGGTGGTTATGCTTTTTGGTTTTTTTTGCACCAAAAATGATGAGTGTTTGCCTTAGGAATTTATTGAGTTTAATTTCATCTGTTTGGTAAGTTTTTGGGACCCAAAGTATGCTCTTTTTTGGTTGATGGGGGTTGTTTGTTCTTAGTCATAGTGTTTTTGGCTTTATCCCGGAATATCACTCTAGTTAGCTCGGGTCTTGTCCCTCTTTAGAGTCATGAACTTACATTTTTGGGTCAAGGCTTTGGCTAGCTTTATCATGTGAACCTTGGTTGGTCTATTTTTTTTAAGGTATTCCTTTTTAGTAAGGTTTTGCAATTACCTTTTTGAGACTTTTTTCTAAGTCTTGGGCCTAATAGATTTTCACTCTAGCCCTAGTCGTCTAAGTTGAAACGATGTTGTCAGCTCGAGGCCTTTAGGACTTAGGTATTGTTGTATCAAAGGAAAGGTTATGAGCCTTTAAATCCTTTGTTCGTATCATGAGTAAATCGTTTGAGTTAGGTTGACACGTTTTTGGAAAGGTTATGAGCCTTTGAAGCCTATGGTTGCATTGTCGCATCGATTTCGCTCAAGTGACATGGGTGATTAGTCCTTGTTGTTACTTGGTAAATGCGCACAACCTCTTGTTAGTATGGTACCAAGCTTGGATATTAATAAACATCTAAATTGTTTTTTTTGAAATAGTCAGTTTTCATCATTCTATTCATAATATTTTTGAAATGTCAACTTTTTCAATTGAGAGTAACCATGACTAAACACTAGCACTAAAGTGGGCCTAAAACTAAAGCTGCTTGATGGGGTGTGATTATCCGATTGGAGTTCGATCAAATTGCCCTTGGCCTTGGTGTGCCTTATTCTGCCTTTTCTCCTTGTTCTAGGAGTAAAAGTGGGGTAAGTTTTGTGCATCCCAAGTTCGAGGGATGGGTCTCCCGTGTTGTGCTTCCATAACACAAGCTCCGTTTCGATGTGTTTCTACAATCTTGTACGGGCCTTCCCAGGTGACACATAGTTTTCCCTGAGGTTGTGTATGGTTGGACTCATTCTTTATCAACATCCATTCGCCTACCTTGAAGTTCTTCACTCTCACACATCTATTGTAGTAATTTTCGATGCGTGATTTGTAGGCTGCTTGGCGGATCTGGGCAGCTTTGTGTTTCTCGTCGAGCGTGTCGAGGTCTTGACGTCACTCAGTTTCATTTTAATTTTCTTTGAAGCCTGTACACACATTGATCCTGCCAAGATTTTGAGTGGATGAACTGCTTCTGTGCCATACATCAAACTGAATGGTGTTTCTCCAGTGCTGGATCTTGAGGTCGTGCGATACGACCAGAGCATCGTTGTCAATTCTTCTACCCAGGCCCCCTTAGACCTCACCAGGTGCTTTTTAAGGCCATTGACAATGATCTTGTTTGATATCTCAGTCTGGCTGTCGGCTTGGGGGTGTGATACTGAGGTAAACCGACGAGGGATCTGTTTTTCTTCACACCACTCTTTGAAGGGGCTTCCTTCGAATTGAGTGACATTGTCGCCAATCAGGACCCTTGGAGTACCAAATCGCGTGAGGATGCTTTTCCACATGAATTTTATCATTTGCCTCCCTGTAACAGTGGCCAAGGTCTCAACTTTGATCCACTTGCTGAAGAAATCAATAGTGACTAAAAGGAACATAGCTCCGCCTGGGACGATAGGAAAGGGCCAACAATGTCTATACCTTATTAGTGGAAAGGCAAAGGGCTGTTGAGACTAGTGAGTGGCATGTCGGGTTGGTTTTGGAACAGAGGAAAGGCATGACACTTCGAGCACTTTTTGGTGAGCTGGGCTACATCCTTGTAGATGTCCGTCCAATACACCCCAAGAAGGGGAATTTTTCTAGTGAGTGCCCATGTCCCCTCATGTGCTCCGATTTCCCCCATATGGCTTTCTTCCAAAAGCAACGGTCCCTCGGAGCTTGCTATGCACTTCAGCCATGGAGCCAAGTATCCCCTCTTATATAATTTCTTAACCCTTATAGAAAACTATGGTGCCTTGATCTTGATCCTCCTAGCCTCTGTGGGATCATCTGGGAGGATCCCATGCAAAAGATAATCTATGAAGGGTGTGGTCCAATCTGGGGCTGTTGAGATAATGTCGACCTATTTTTTTATCAATGCTTCTTTCTAGGAGAATTTCCACCAGGACCTTCTTGGGTAGGTGATCAAACGGTGTCGAGGCTAGCTTGCTGAGGGCGTCGGCCCTTTCATTTTCTCCTTGGGGGATCTGCTTGATCGAGAAGCTCTTGAATGATTGCACCAACTCTCTTATTGTGTTGAGGTATTTTTGTATCCTTTGATTTTTGACCTCGTACGTGACATTAACCTGGTTGATAATGAGGAGAGAGTAACTGAGGGTTGCAAGGTGTTTTGCTCCAACTTCTCGAGGTAGCCGAAGACCTGCTAGGAATGCTTCGTATTTGGCATCGTTATAGGAAACATGGAAGTTGAAATGTAAAGCGTACGTGATTTCATCGCCACCAAGGTTCTTGAGGATTAAGCCTGCTCCTAACCCTTCTTTGCTTGCAACTCTGTGGGTGTGTAATTCCCAAACGTCCCGACTCCCCTCCGGCTCTGAGGGATCTATTGGGAGGACCGTTGGGAAATTATTGAGCATGTCTAGGATCTCGACTAGGAAGTCTGCTAGTGCCAGGGATTTGATGCCGATGCGTGATCGAGAGTCTATAGCATGCTCGCGCTGCTCGATCGCCCATTTCGCTAGACGTCCCAACTTTTTCCGGCCTTAACAAGATTTGCTTTATTGCGTAATTGGTCAAAACCTCGATCTTGTGAGCTTGAAAGTAGCGTCTGAGTCACCTGGCTACATAGATTAATGCGAGGACCAAGTTCTTTAGGATTTGATAATTGAGCTCGGGACCCTCTAATGCTTTTCTTATGAAGTGTATTGGCAATTGCTTATTATCTCTCTCAACAGTTAGCACCGACGATATGGCTTCGATAGATGCTGCCAAGTGCATCTGCAATGTTTCTCCCAACAGGGGGCTCGTCATGGCTGGGAGCTGGTGCAAGACTTCTTTCAGATGTTGCAGAGCTTATCTGCCTCTGGTGTCCATTTGAATTTGTTTATATCGATGCATCCTTTCAAAGTTTTGAAAAGTGGGAGGGATTTTTCGGCCGACATAGCAATGAATCTGCCAAGTGTTGTTAATCTTCCATTGATCTCTTGCACTCCCTTAAGGTTTTGAGGGGTTTTAGAGTCGAGGAATTCTTGTATTTTGGCCTGGTTGGGCGATATTCCTTCATTGGTTATCTGATAACCCAAGAATTGGCCTTCCTCTACCCCGAAAATGCATTTGCTCGGGTTGAGTTTCATCTGCGCCTTCGTCAAGGTTTGAAAAGTTTCCTTTATATCGTGGAGCAGAGTTGCTTCGTCATGGATTTGATGACCATAGCGTCAACTTATAATTGGTCTGCGAACACTTTGTCCATCAAGCTTTAGTAAGTTGCCCCAACGTTCTTGAGACCGAATGACATTTTCCGGTAGCAGATGGTTCCACGGTCGGTATCAAAGGTTGTTTTCTCCCGATCTTCTCTTTTTGTTTGGACGTGGTGATAGCCCTTGTAGGCATCGAGGAAGCATCTGAACTGGAATCCCTCTTGGGATTCAACGTTTTGATCTATCTCCGGGAGGGGGTAATGATCCTTTGGGCAAGCATTGTTCAAATCGGAGTAGTCAATGCACATCCACCATAATCTATCGTGCTTCTTCACCATCACTGGGTTCGTTATTCAGGTAGGGACGATTGCCTCCCAGAGTATGCCTGCATCCACCAACTTTTCCACCTATGAATTGATTATCTTGCTTCTATCACCCGCTTGCCATTTTTTTTATTGATGGGGGTGCTTCCCAGAAGAATGCTCAAGCTATGCTCAATAACCTTGCGATCGACCCCTATCATATATGCAGGTTGCCATGTGAAGACCTGGGAGTGATGCTTCATGAGGGAGATTAGCCTTAGTTTTGCTTTTTCCGATAGGTTGGCACATATTCAAACCGTTTGCTCCGTGTACTCCGGGTGACCGATGTGCTTTTTTGTTTGGAAATCATCCTTTGAATTCTTTGGCGCTCGCACCATCTCGGGTGTGGCAATGACTTGATGTCAACGGTGTGCTCGTGGATTAATGGCAACTATTGCAGCTGACCCAGTGCATGTGCTAAACTTGACAATACCATGCATTGTTGATGTTATGGTCTGCAGCTGGAAAAGCACCGGTCGTCTGAGCAAGATGTTGTGCTCTGTTGGGAGGCGTATCATGAAAAATTCGATCGTTCACATGATCCTATCCCTCCTATCATGACTGACCAAGGTAAGTGGTAAATGTATGGCACCTAATGGCCATAGGTTGTGCCTTGTGAATCCTATTAGTAGTCCGCATGTAAGGGCTTTAGTCCTTCTTTCCAGGAGGTGGGCAAGTGCCCAAAGCAATGTTCATATAGGATATATCTATGTTGCTACCGTTGTTTATATACAGTGAACTTGCATTTGGTGTATGTAAGCATTAGGGATGAGCATTGGAACCGACCATACCGGAACCGGCCCGGGAACCGAACTTGGTGGAAAATAGGAACCGAACTGGACCACCGGTTCTACCGTTTTCGGTTCCTACCGGTTCTTGTCGTGTCTTCAATGTTGGAACCAGTCCTCGAGAAATAGTAACATACAGTTCCGGTTTTTTCCGGTTCTACTGGTTCCGGTTCCTACCGGTTCCCGGTTCC